ACCTCCATGGTAACCGCAAAAGGATCCTGATCCAGATCCAGATTGATGATCGGAAGTATTATGACCACCTCTGCAAATTTGACAGAGCGGTGGCTTATTCATGCGTGCCAGAAGTGAATTTGATTCTTGTTTAATCGGGGTAGATGAAGATCCTGATTTGTCCTGTTGGGGAAGCATAGTTTTGCCCAATTTGTGGGCCCAGACCTCTTTCATGTGAGGTATTACAGTATCAGGAGAGAGTTGATTGGCGGCAATAGAGGATAAAATATTGACTGGAGCTTGTTCCCAAGCCTGCATCATTGAATGGACCAAAATAAGTGCTTTCATTTTGTCATTAAGGGCAATGCCCTGAGCACTAATTGCGGCGATAAGCATAGTGATCTCCGCAATCTTGGCCATTATATCGTCCTTCGGTTTGATTTGAATGTGGATCAACCACTGAAACTCCATGAATGTTGTCATGGCCGAAGGAGTGCCATAAGCATTAAGTAATGCTTGCCATTTCAAATGCGCAGTAGCTTGTCTGTCAATAGACATTGCGATCATCGGATCACAATAGAGTGTGAGAATGCCTTGGGCACGTGTATCAGAAGTGACCCAGGCAGCAATTTCTGCGGCTCCTGCACCAGCTGCAGGACGTGCAACAGTGCCATCAACAATTCCCATAATACCAAGGGTTTGCATGTATGCTTTCATAAGAACCGACCAGGATGCATAGTTCAAGCCATTAAGCTTGGGAATCTGCTTAGAAAGACCTTCGGACATCTAGTGTCAAAAGTCCATAAGCAGGTGTTTGTATAAGAACGAGTGAGTCGGGTGAACATGGATGGATGGAGGATTTAATTCATGAATCCGATTCCTTTTGGGTCTGTGAGCGGATGCTCTAGCAGCTTGAGATGGATGACACTTGCGAGCACATTGGTTTTTATAGTAAGGATGAGGATTCCTTCGCTTTTCTTGTTTTGTCTCCAGTGCCTTAGTACCTTTCTCAGTGAATCTCCAGGATGAGATGCGAGAATTATTGCACTCTAGACTTAAAAAGTCTAGTGGAGGGAAACAATGATAAGACATAAAACTCCAATTGCAATCATGCAATGGAATTCCCTCTGATCGAAACCCAAGATAGGGATCAGCACAAGAATAAGGTACATTTAGCGGAGCGGAGTAGCGAGGATGACGGTCCTTAACTAATACTTCTAGAACATTGTATGACTCGTAAAGATTACAAGTATTAGTTAACCAATGGTTTCGGCCGCCTGATACGTACGGTGCGTCCAGCAAATTTGGAAGAGGATAGCTTTTGTCATATGGTACGAGCCTCATGAGCTCTGCTAAGAGCCGTGGTGCAAATTCCTCTAGGTCGGGGTGCTGCGAGATAGTCAAAAGTATCTGCGTCCATGACATGTTCGAGATCGTGTAGAACCTCTTCTGTTCCGGGCCAGTAAGTGAACTCTGCGTTAATGGGATCGAGACCCCATGAAAGATGCCGGTTAGCAGAGTTATATCGCAAGGAACTTCCCATATCTGCCGTGTCCCTATACCGTCGTAAAGACCTAAAGAGGTCGCTATCAAACCTGTCTCCTCCGCATCTGCATTCTCAGAACCACCCTGGTATACAGGCAACGTCGGTGCTTCCGTCAACCCAAGTTCCTCTGAAATGGAACTCAAGATGCTGGTTCCAAAGGTGGAGAGGAGGGATGACACCATTGAAGCATGGATCGTAGAGTGGGTGGACGTTGTAGTAGATGTAAACAAACGTATCGTGGGTGACTGTGAACGTGGGAACAGTGTCGAGGGAAGGATCTTCATAATAGGCACTGGGAAGATTGCAACTGTTGAAATTAGCTATGGCATGAGGAGTCGAGGTATGGGACAATTTGGGAAAGAAGTCGGTAAGATAGCCGTGAAAGGCTAAATGGAGGCCAGGATAGAAGAATGGCGATTCGAAACCAGGAAAGTGGGGCATGCGCTGCCATGCTGTTTCCACAGTGTCAATTGGGACGAGATAGGTTGCAGGGTTTGGCTTCTTGAAGAAAGCCACTGACGAGGGAACAGCCTCTCTCCAACTTGTGCAGTCACGTACGTATAGCATCTCGGTATACTCTATGATCTCTTTTACCGCATATTTTCTCCACTTTACATCATACATGCCATCCCGTTGCTCAGCAATAGCGAGTTCGAGTTTCTTGGCAACGACGAGAGACATCTTTTTAAATTATTAGTTCCTGTTGTTCGACAAAGCAAACGAGTTTTTAGAGTAAATCGAACTCAGCGATGTCATCGACAGCGAGAACGACAGGATTAATTAACTCGTTGACAGCCGCAACCTCCTCAGGAAGAGGGGTAGGAGCCCGACATGGAGAAGGCAGATTAAGCGCTTCAACCTCGTCATAGGGTGGAACAGGATCTAAATCCACGTTGTAATCGATGTCGGGAAGGTGAAAATGAAGGTAATGAGGCGGTGGAGTTGGAGGACGAAGAATGAGACGTTGTAATAATGCTCTGTGAACAATCTGCTCTTGTAGCAAGAATTGTCGCCTTCGCCACCAAGCGGTGAGACCTAGAAAAGAAAACCAAAAGGCTACCGAGTGCACAGCGAGCTCCCGTAGATAAATCGGATCATGACCACCATAATGAAGTAAAAGTACTGCCTGGTTAAGGCCGGTAACAAGCGACACAGCGAAGACTACTACTACCATTCCTAGCGCATCTAGGCCTACGATATCCATTGTGATTTGCCCGTCAGCAGTGATCGCTCGATGCAAATACCGCAAATAGCTAACCACCTAGTTATAGGCAGGGCTCATAACCTATTGCGCAGAGGAACGGACAGGACGAAGAGCAATGGCAAGAACACTTGCCTTTATTCAGAACAGTAGTAGCGTTTGAAGTACTTGAAGTTGAGGGGCTCAGTTGTTGAGTAGACAAGTGAAGAATGAATGTGGAATTCACTTCCTTAGGATATGAGGAAGAAATCCTCGAGTTTATATACATGAGTAGGTACGCACGGACCAGTAGCATAAAAGGAAACTACTACTCAGTATAGTAAAGAATAGTGCAGAAGGTCATGGAATATGATGTATAATATGATGTCAGAATGACATCATTGTGGAGCTGATTGCTAAGGAACGTCATGTGATGAACAACATGTTGATGCACGTGTAAGTCTGGAGCAATCTAGATGTCGGAACTATTAACAATATTTCCAACAGGGGGAAATCATTAGTCTCGGAAGCGAACGCTTGGGAAGCCAGCAAAATCCCTCCCAAACGGAGACTAAGAAGGAATTTACTGTAGTTCAACGCAACGAAAAGTAAGTGCACTGTATGACGACTCGACACACCATCAATGCATCATGCATCATCCATGTATGTCACTTCCATCAGGAAATTAACACTTTACTATTTTTGACCTTTTTGTGACTTTTTTTGACTTTTTTGTGACTATTGTGACTATTTGTGACTTTTTGGGAAGGAACCTACTATCTGTACTTTTTTTTTGACCATATACAGCATTTTGAAGAATGAAAAGAGAACAGAATCTATTGAGACAACTAAGTGATGATATATCTAAGCCAAGAAGACTAGAAAATGTCTGAAAATTCAGAGATATTGAGCCATTGGTGTGATGCACACTGCCTGAGAGAAAAATCACAATATCTCTTTGGAACCTCCATCAATTTGAATGTATGTGGTATCTACTGAAAGCTATGAATTAGGTGGTTTGAACAAGACCAAAATCAGCAAGAAAAGTGCAGCCATGCCTGCAGGATGTGGGTAATGATAGTAGATTCCTTCCCAAAAAGTCACTTTAGTCACAAAAAGTCAAAAATAGTAAAGTGTTACTTTCCTGATGCTCATCCGGTCACTATCATTTGTGCAGGTGAATGTCGACCATCTGGCATGGCAATGGAGGCACTGCACAGTCCCAAGGACATACAGAAGAGTACCACCCTCAATTGAGGGCTGGTCACTGGTATGAGCTAGGGTGCACACTGTTGACTCTTCCCCCACTCGCCTTATTCCTAAATCATGTATACCGAGCACCACGAGCATCATGCCTCGTTGGTCACCCTTCTGGGGTAAGGGCAACTTCCATCATTGATGGATAGTCCTGCTAGTACCTGCTTAAATATCTGGCCTGGGATGGGTCATAGTTGGAGTAGTGGCAGCCCTCTGGTGAGAACTTACTTGTGCTGCTCTCCATGGGGACCCCACCACCCTTTTATCTACCACTACACCTGCTGTATGTGGCCCTGACCCTCGGGTAGTGGCGACCGATGGAAGTAGGAAGTAGATGGACAGCCCTGACCCTGGTTGGCACATAAAATTCGTACTACAACCCGGAGGGGTGGTAATGTGCTCACTGGTATACTGGAGGTCTCTTCCATCATTTCTCCCAATCAGTGGTCTTACTTACACTGCCTTATCACTCACTAACTCTTCGAGAAGCTGGTGTCCTGTGCATAGAGCACTGTCCCTCCCTCTGCATACTCTGGGCATTATGCATTCCACACTTAAATGGTCCAGAGTAACATGACACTTTCTTGGATAGGGATTTTGCAGTTAGAAGTTCAAGAGGCCTTGTTGATGCACCTCAGTTTCATGTAACTACTGTGCCATGAAGCAGAAGTATTGAAGATCTGCTCCTCAGTCCTTGAGTGTCATTTCATAAGAGTCAAGAGAGGGTTAATGTAGGGTTTCAGACCGATGATTGACAGTATGTTCCCAAGAGATGTTCAGTCACTTGACAGATCCAATTTGTTTCTCATTTAGAGCCTGTTCAGAAACCTGAAACAACCTGAGTATGCATGCCAGATCACCATGTTGTAGTTGTTTGGATTGTCAGCACACCAGCAGGGCAGGTCAACTGAGTTTGAAATCCAAACCTTGTTCTCTCAAGCCATGGACTATTGATTTGACCACAGTGATCTTTGACACATTTGGGGGATCCTAGCATCCCTGGTGGTGGTGGCCATCCAGAGTGCAATCCTTCTCCCAATGCCTCCCAAAAGCAACAGTGAACCCAAGGTAGTGGCATGGTGGGTGCCAGTAGAAGAAGAGAAACTTGTTGAGTTTCTCCACTCCCATCATGCAGAGGCAATGGATGGAACAGGGAATTTCAAGCCACAAACATACAACCACCTTCCTGCTGCTATCACAGCCTATTGAATGCCTGGGACTCCTGTGAAGACACCATTGCGATGCAAGAACAAGTGGAGGGTGGTAGGTTGCACTTTTTTGTTATCTATTTCATCATACTGATCAGTGCCCAATATTCAGCTGAGGCAGCTATATGCTGAGATTCAAAGGTATTGTGCATCTGGAAAACACTGGGACAATGACAACAGTGCTGCAATTGTTGGTATTGATGCAGGGCAGGTCTGGGATGAATATATGAAGGTCAAATATTTCTTTGGTTACATTGTATCTATAGATACTGACTGATGGCCATGAATTTAGACACACAAATCTCTTTGTCCATACAGGAATTGGGGATGGTCACTGTTTGATATGATATCTGAGATCATGCTGAGTGGTGTTGTGAGCAGTCACCATGCATTTGATGCCAGTGCTCCCAGTATGTCTACCCCAACTCCATCTGCCACCTCTCCTGCATCTGCCACCCCCACCATGTCTACTACCTTGACCACTGGTGAATTCAATGCACCTTCCATGTCTGCTGCCACCAATTCTGCCTCTACTGCCATCACTGCTGGAGAGGATGAAGGCCCTTGATGTGACATTTCTATGGAACCCCCCCTCCCTCCCTCGTCACTGAGCTCCATAAATTTGGAGACATTTTCCTTTCAAATGCTCTCCTCCCCTAGCCACCTGACAAGTGGCAGTACTAGCACTTGCATTCTGAGGCCTCCCCACTCCAATGCATCAAGCCAGGGAAAGTGTCCCTTCACTGAAATGAGCAACACTGACCCTGCTGTCAGATCAAATTTTCTGGAGCTCCCATATGCAAACACCATCTCCTCTGTTGACACAAGGCCTTCTGTGAAGAAGAAGGGGGGGCCAACATAGGTGAACCACTTCCTGCAATGTCCATGACTGATGCAATGGTGATTGCTGCTGCAGGGTCCTCCTCATGCAACACTTGGGTAAAAGCACCACCACCAGAAGAGCCACCCAACCTGCTTCTGGTGACCTTGCTTGGTGCTGTTACCCAGCTGGCAGGCTCCATCAAATGTACAATGCAGCTGGCTGAGGAGCAACTGAGCTCAAAGAAGCAGAGTGCCATTCATATTGTGGAGGAGGAGCACAATGATCTGAGTATTGACCAATGTATTTTGCTTTTCAAACTCATTGGGAAGGATGACTATATTTCAGATGTTTTGACACTAGTTAACCCTGACCACTGCCATGCATATATCTTAGATTTACTTCAGAAGCATGGATGTAGTTTGACTGCTCCTATGATGCATAACACCATTGATGATAGTTTGACTACAATTTATATGTGCCTTCTGTCATGTTTCACTGCATCAATGTATCAATCTCATTTGTTTTGGTAAACACAGTAAATTGCAAGTAAGAAATGACTACTACAATCAAGATTCCAACTCATCATCATTATCATTGTCCAAATCATCCCTCTCAACCTCAGCCCCTTCATCCTCTGAACCCTGTGCAATATGATTGTAGTCCCTCTCCCTGATGATATGTTGATAATCAATCCACATCACTTGTGCAATGCTATCTCACATCACTTTGGCCTTGATGTCCAGCACATCTTGATTCTCCCAGTCTGCTTCTGGATCATCATTGATCACACTCCCACCACCACCAAACATCTCAGATCCTTGGAATGGACCTTCAGTGGGATTGCAAATGGAGATGAAGTTGTGAACAGCACATAGCATGCTCGGAATGTGTGCTTGTGTTTCTAGGTCATATTCAGGCACTAGAAGCAAGATACAAAATTGTCATTTGAGCACACTGAAAATTTGTTTGATGGCATTCCATGCAGAGGTGTGTCATAAATTAAACAATTCCTCTTTATTGGTGGGCCTATAAATTTGATCAGGCAGTGTTACTGTGATTTTAAATGAATTACATACCTTTGCTGTGCATGTTGCCATTCAGCCAGATGGTATCAGACATTCCAATAGGGAATGAGAAGCTCTGGTCACAGTGGGAAGCTGGCATCAGCAAGGAAATAGTTGCCAGGAGGGATGTAGAGGCCTTTGGTACACACATCCTGGTAAACATGTGCATCTGTAGCAGACCCCTCCCATCCTGTGAGTGCATAGGTAAAGAAAAGGTCAAAATCACATGCGAAAAGACAGTTTTGTGAGATAAAGCCTTTGCAGTTTCAGAAAGTACCATGGTCAGTAGCACTGGGGGCTGCATGTGTGTGGCTCCCATCTAAAGCACCTATCACATCCTTGAAAAATGGCCAAAACCTCATGTTGTCTTGAATGTGGGTGTGGATCTTATTTTCATCTGGGAGATGGATGTATTTGGTGTAAAATGGTGGGGTAGAAAATATTACCAGCATCTTGTGGAAATATCTGTGAAAAATCAGAATAAAAAAGAATTGAAAGATGATGGAAAACATACTGTGAAATTGTTGCATTCAAATGTTGAAACCATTCACCAACATGCCAAATAGTTAATCCAGGGACAGACATGTACAAAAAAATAGTGGCTTGTTCCTCAAGGGAGATAAACTTGGAGTTTCCATGACCATGAGTGCACAACTCTGCAATGAGTTCTGCAAAGACAGATGCATGCATTCCTAGCTTGCAATGGATCCACTCTGGATGCCCCACAAGGAGTTCAATTACCCAGGCCTCACCTGAAAGTGCTGATGTATGGTATGGTCCAGGGGTCTTTCTTTGGGGTTGTTGGGGCTGGACAACAGTTGCTGCTGCACATGCAATAAGACTGAGAATCAATGTTATAAACTGGTAGAGCCACTGCCAAACTTCAGGTTGCTGAGGGTCCATATCAGTCAGAGGTGCTAGATCTATAAGTTTAACAGTGAAGGGGGACTGTGCCCAATGCCCAATTGCTGATAGTCAATGCATACTTTGTGTAGTTCGCAATTCTTGCTACAGTCACTAATGCCATGTGTTTTTCCTTTTTTGTATGACAAAAGCCATGTGGCCATGACAGACTGCTGTCCACTGTCCCTGTGCTGTCCCTGTCTGTCCCTCCTGTAGTTAGCTGTGCTGTGTCTGCAAGCTTCCCCCCCTTCTCCCTCCCTGTAGCTCTCCATTGAGGCTCTTGACACACCAGAAGATTTGCTAGAACTGTGAGTGTTTGCACTGATTGCACTGATCTTGGCTACATATGATCCAGATAAGGAGATCTCTGACTGATAAGGCCCATATCCTTTGCATTTTTGACCATTTTCAGTGTTTCCCTCCACTTCTGGTAAGCCTATCAACCTGCTACCATGCTCAGGAGTGCACTGAGATCATTTCATTTCATTGGCTTTTTGGGTCTTTTTCTGTCCTTTTTTCACTTTTTGGCTGCAATTTTGGTTTTTTTTGCAGGCATTACTTGGCCTTTCTCCATCCAGAAGTGCTTGGTGGATACCTCCCATATTGGCAAAATTTGGCTTTTGGTTATACTGAATGCATTTTTTCACATTTTCAGGTCATTTTTGGCATCGTCGCACAACTTTGTACATAACTTTTGCCCAAAGTTCCTAGGTCTCTGTCACTGGTAAGTCTATAGACATTTCTACAGTTTGACTGCATTTTTCGCTTTTTGGGTGCCATTTCTTGGGCATCATTTGTATAGGAAGCTTTGGTGAGTGTTTCACATCTATTGGGAGTTGGTATGGGTATTTTGGCCATACTAATGGATTTTTTCACATTTTTCAGACTATTTTTTCTGCATTTTTGTGCAGTTGGTGCATATTCTCTCCCCTTGCCCATCACTCATCCACCCCACTCATCAATTCCCCTGATTTTAGCTGCTGTTTTTGCTTTGTTGGGAGATTTTGACACTTTTTATTGTTGGGTGGGGATTTCAGGCAGAACTCTCCCTGTCATCCAGCATGGCTCCAGAGAGCAGTTTGTACCTGCCACACTCACTCATTCAAACCTCTGGGCACAGATGAGGGTGCACTATCTCAACCAAAATATGCATCTTGGCCAGGATCCTGAATCCTGAATGTGATGAGTGGGCACAACATCTTCTGGAGATAGGGACCACTGATGGAGAACTGGAGCTTCCTCAGCACATGCATTGTGGTGATGACATGCCCTCTCTGATGCAAACCATATACTCAGATCTGCTTGCACTGCAACCACACCAGCAACTTCCTGATGGCTATTTCCTGGATCATACCATCCTGACCTCTAGGAATGCCCAGGTGCATGAGATAAATGCTACCATCTCAGAAACTGTGCAACCACAGAAGAAGTACACCTATACCAGTGCAGACTCTGTGACTGACCAGGAGTATGAGTACATCCAACCAGAGGTGTTGCACTTCCTGTCCCCCTCTGGATTTCCCCTGCACAAACTGGAGCTGAAGAATGGAGCACCTCTGATGCTGTTGTGCAACTTGGATCCCATCCATGGACTCTACAATGGAACTAGGTTGAGGCTGGTGAGATCCACACACAGGATCTTGGAGTGTAGAGTGTTGAAGGAGGATGGAGAAGGAGATGTGGTGTTGATCCCCAGGGTTGCTCTTGACACTGGGCTTGAGGATTCCCCTGTGCCATTTCATCAAATGCAATTCCCTGTGCACCTGGCCTATGCAATGACCATCAACAAGTCACAAGGGCAGTCAGTAAAGATTGTGGGGATTGACTTGCACTCTGCAGTTTTCTCTCATGGGCAGCTTTATGTGGCTCTTTCACATTGTACTCATCCCAAGAGGATAAAGGTTCTATTTAGAGAAGGTCAGGATGATACCAAGACAAGCAATGTAGTCTGGCCTGAAGTATTTAGACATCTGAACATATGATCTGTAACTGTGTACATATGTAATATGTAATATCAAATTGTACCACTTGGCTTGAAATGTGGGCTGGATGCAGCTCTTCCCTTTAAAACTCTTCCCACCCCTGCCAGTGGTAGTGGGAGGCTGTGAAGCAGCCATGAGCCAAAGGCTCGTATCAATTAGTAAGCATAACTATTTTACATCTCCAATACCTCTCCACTTCACTCTAACCAACACACATGTTAAGTCGATGTCAGGTGTTTGGTTGCTGAACAGGCTCTAATGCAAAGAAGTGGTCCAAGTCATGATGAAGGATGACACTGAAACCAATTCCACCTAGTAAATATGATGGGTCAGATGATGCACACTCATACCATTGTTTTGTCACCAAAGGGACTGTGTATGTCAAGGATGGTTGAGTGGCCCCAAAGAAACATGCCTTCATGTTGTCTCACTACCTGACAGGCAAGGTGTACAAGTTCTACATGTGTGAAGTATCTGGGGACCCCTACAAATGGAGGCTGTCAGATTTCTTTATGGAGCTTTTCAATTATTGCTTCCCTATCAATGTCCAGCTATGGCAGCAAGAAAAGCTGCAGGCTTGCTACCAGAACTCCAAAACTGTAAAAAAAATTATGTGTACAAGCTGAACAAGCTCTGGAACATGATTGGGGAGACAGATGAACATGCTAAAGTCCATAAACTATGGTCTGGCCTCTGCAAGGAGCTCCAATGAGACTTGTAGCAGGAGAAGCTAAATCCAGAGATATCTTCATTGAAAAGAGTGATAGCAAGTGTGGAGGTACTCAAGATTGCCCAG